GGAGAAAATCATTCATTTTATTCATAACAGCTCATAACGCCATACAAAACTGAAAAACTTCATACCTTTTGTTTTCACACAAAATTGCAGAATCTACCCTTTTTGGTGGCACAGTCACGCTCTCTATCTGTAGATTGAGCGGCGAATAGTGAGCATTAAAATCAAAGTTCAACTTCAAACATCCAATGTACAAAGTTAACCTGGACACGAAAATTATTTGACTCTTTTAGGCGGTTCCCTGAATTAAGAAGAGATTTCCATGATGCCATACCATTTCACTCTTTTTGTTTGAAACAAAAAATTCAGCGCGGTCATTTTCGACGGTAGAAAATGAGCCCCTCAGAACGAGAGTGGTGTAAGTCACACTTATTTAATTTTGAGAAACGAAGAGATTTGTGTTTGAATTTGCCATAAGCTCTGTGTTAAATTTGTAACTTCAAGAGACCATATTATCTGTTGGAAATTGAGAGAATTGAGATTAATCCTTTTGCAAGGTGAAAGTTCCCCCAAAAACTAAACGATGGCACCCTTAACTCAATTTTTTGGTTTTGGACTTACACCACTCTCGTTCTGGGGGGCTCAAATGTATTGCAGCTTATTTGGCGCATTCCAATTCTAGATAAATCAGGGATTGATCCACTCATGCGCCAAATCAGGCATTGAGCTACTTTTGCGCCAAATCACGGATTGAGCTACTTTTGAGCCAAATCAGGCATTGAGCTGCTTTTGCGCCATCCACTACCCGAAAAATACACAAAATCCAAACCTTCGCTCGACGTGGACAATTTGACAACCGGCAATACACCGTCATATTTCAGCACTTTTCTCGTTTCTTCTCTAAAATCCTCGTGTTGCGCACATTCTCCAATTCTGCAGTAGATACCAAGTCTCGTGCGTCCACTGGTGGCGAGCACCTGGACGCAGCTGCAGCCCTGCACCAAAACGCCAGTCAACCGTTAACCATGATAATCAAATAAATTATTTGCCTAATTTACGCTACATTCGGTCTTCATTATCGATTCCATTTCCTCGAAAAGACGAGAGGACCCGAAGAATAGGACAGAAAAAAAGCTACCTACAGCCCAATGTATACACAGAAAAACCCACAAAAACTGTATCTTTCTTCCGCCCCCATCATCCTCCGCTTAATATTTTCATCGTACTCGACGTTCGTGCGTACGTGCCAAGGACACATCGAAAGATGTGACGCATGGAGCGTCACGGCGTCACGTTTCTTGCAGCAAGTCGTGCATTACTCGTCGCAGTCACAGAACGCATATCACGTTCCTCCCATTTTTCCGTATCTTTTTTTTCCACCAGTATATTTTCTTATACCTGTCTCACTCCTTTGTAACCATCGGGTCTCTTCATCAATTCTAAAAATACGGACTACTCCGGACCTATACCGCAGCAAAGTGCCCACATGATGGAGGATTAGTGGTCCAAAAACGATGCCATCTATCTCTCTAACAAAGCCAAAAGTCTACATCAAAGTCCAGGGGTATGCGTTTCAATGGAAATATTTGTTAGTCACTTCTTGGCAATCCTACTAGTTACTTATCAGGATAGACCGGAGTGATGCATTATCGGTTTATTAGATTTTTCATTTATTGTTCGCTTGTATGAATACTCAAGTTAAAAACTCCATTGGTGCAGTAATGCTGCGGTGACCGCATCACAACGCAAGCAAATTCAACTCCATGTCTGCGTCGACATACGTTCAACTTTTGTTGGAATATGTGGGCAGCCAAACACAATGATAACACGCAAGCAACTGATTGGACAAATATCCTCTCGAAAACACGATCCTACCCGAATCAGCTGCGGCATGCGTTTGGCTGCATTGAAATCAACAATTTCAATTTCAACGCAGCCGAACACAGCCTACCGCACTCCTCCTGCGGCAAGGTGCGTTCTGGCCTCTGATTGGTCAACGCACCTTGCCGCAGCAGACGACGCAGCTCCACCGCATGAATGCAGTCTTAGCTTTAGTAGTTTATAACTGATTCTGGCGTTCAGCTGCAGTATGGTATTAAAGTGGGTGGCGCTATGACTGTGCATGCTCAATGTTGTAGGTTCAATTGAGCCCCTAGAACAAGAGTGGTGTGAGTCATATTTATTTCATTTGAGAACAAGGATATTTGCGTTTGACCCTGTCATTGATTCTGTGATACATTTAATGACTTCGTTCCTTCAAATTTTGATTGGTTAGGCTCATAAACACTCAGTCTAAAAAGAATTAGAAGAAGTAGTACTTTCAAAATAATGAAAGACTCATGCAACAATATTTGAATACGAGAAAAAAATCATTCAACTAGATTAAATGAAGTCAATATTGTCTGAAAACATTAGCGATTTTCTAACTGATAAGAATTAAAGCTGAACAAGGTCTGGGAAGATAGAAACGAGCGCTAAATGGTTTTCAGGTTCCAATCGACTTCTCCGATGTTTTATTTTTGAAACTTGCTTTTGTTTCAATTTTTACCAAAAATTTTGCCACCTTTGAAATGAAATTGGGAAGCTGGAAGCCAATAAAAACTGGTAGGCACGAACTTGCACTACTCTCATCCTCATTTCAAACACATTTTCAGCTGTGGACGTAACTTTAAGAGGTCATATCTTTTCAAAGGGTACCTCAGGTTAAGATAGGCAAAGTGGCCCCACCTGGGGTTCGGGGTGAAACCTATGGTGATTGGTAGCCCTATGGGTAAGACAAATTTTCAGGTACTTTTTAGCCCCCCACCCCCTCTCCCTCGGGAGAAATGGCTAAAAAACGATTTTTGGCAAGCATTTTTCTAAAAATTAATATCTCCGCAACCAATCAACGCAGAAAAAAGTTAGGGTGTCAAATGAAAGCTGAGATTCTGGAGTATCTAACACATATTTTTTTGGAATTTTCAAAACATTCTAAGTCCTCAAAACTGAAGGTTGAAAACTTTAAATAACTATTTACCATGGGTGCACTTGAGTGACAGTTACCAAATTGACATATATTATAGCCCTTGGCAAGGACTACAAGATAGTATGAGTTTCGGTTCTGACAGAAGGGTGCAACGTACTCAAAAATCAAATAAGTCCTTTAAATCCAGATTAAATAGAGACAGGCTGAACCAATTTTAGCAAATGAGGGCTCATTAGAAAGTACATGACGAGACCTATTTTTTGGTATCATATTTGAGTCAATTGGTCATGAAATACTCGTATAAAGTACAGTATATGAGTCGTCTATGAGACCCAAAGTTGAACAAACAGCAAAACTTTGACTACTAACTCTTTCTCAGGATTATACAAAGTTTTTAAAATATATTTATAGAATCATTGAAGGTGTACTCTAAATATTTAATATCGGATATATTGCACCTGCTTGATAAAAAAAGCTGCAACTCTGAAAATCCATTTCTGAAAAAACTGTTCAAGTTTTGAAAAACTCCAAATATTTGTAAAAAAGTCAATTTTCAATAGATTGGTTCACGCAAGTACCAAAATACTCTTTTTTGAGTACATTTTTATCAAATCTGGTCACCTTTTCTCCTGTTGAAATACGCTTGCAAATGCTAGTTATTGACCAATGGTTTCACTCGCAGTGCCACCGTAGAATACGAACAAAAATGATGATGATGATGATGAAGATAGATCATGAAACAAACATCTGTTTACAGCTCTGTCATCATCATCATTTTTGTCTACGGTGGCGCTGCAAGTGAAATAGTTTGTCAGTAACCAGAATTTGCCAACAGTTTTTCCTAGTGGATTAACTTGGAATTTATACAACTTTGAGCTAACCGATGCCACCTCTAACTCATTTTTTTGGTTTTTGGACTTACACCACTGTTGTTCTAGGCGGCTCAATTTTTGGCGAAGCTAACTTTTTCAGTAAATTTCTTTTTCAAAAGTCGATAACACTACACTCTGATATCTTGGTGAATAATTAGCAGAATTGGCTAAGATTTTGGTCCTCAGTCTCTACGTTGAGTGATGTATCTATTGACTAATATTATTGATAATCTGCAGAGGTCGAAGCCTGTGCACGGCACCTTCAGCTCGAAAACGTACCTCACCACAACTATGCAAAATAAATGAGAAACGTCTACGGTAATCGCCTTTGTGAAAAATGCACTCGGGCCATTTCCTATAAATAATTACCTCTATGTGGCTCGACTTCCAAGTATTTGTTTTTGGTCGAGCAGGCTTTACGCCGCTATTCTCCTCGACACCTTGTCGTCGCACGAAACCACGCCGGACAATTAAGGCATTAGCTGCGTCGTCATCGGACGATGGCTGTACGCTTTCTGGCAGCTATACAGACGCACGTCCCGGGACATCAATCAACGATTCCAATCGGCCATTAATTATTTATATGGTATGTGCGTAGAGGTGAAACTCACTGAGACCAGCACCACCGTTCAAAGGAGTGAAAGACACGGTGCACGGCTGTCGTTTGAGGTGTTTGTTTCTGTACGGAAACTGATGAATCTGCCGTCCACACTGCTGCGGGTTCACCGAGTCATTTAATTAGCTGGAACGAATAACCAACGTCGACGAAGGAGAACGTTCGCGGAGACTCCAGCCAGTAGAAATTGTTTTTTGGTGGGATCCACTTCGAATCAATACGCCGGTGGCTCGCGGAATAATGAATAGAAGCCGAAAAAACGTGCCAAGATCTGAACCTTCGCTGGGCAAAATCAACAAAATAACTAGATTAAATAATGAAAGCCAATTTCCAAAGTGAGCTCAGACAGGGCTGGCAATAATAGTGGTGCACTGAACAAACTGCACCACGCAGAATTTTTTTGGGTAATGCACTGCACCACTTGAAAAAAATTTTCACAAATGCAAAAAAGTCTCTGCCTCAAGTATTTAATTTTTTCACAAAACTTGTTGAACGATACAAATAGGTTCATTTACAGCAGCAATGTAAGCTTTTCACAGGGCAGGTTCAGAACTTCATTTCTCGAAGGGGAAATTGAAAATTTCCGAATTGATAACTCTTTTTGTTGTCACGTTCAAAAATTCAGTGAAAACCACCCATTTCTCATTTTTTCTCTATTTTAGGAGGTGAAAAATTCTCCTCTCCCTGGGTCAGCAAGTGGCTCACCAGTTCCCTTCATATTTTCAAACAAAGCTAAAACAAATAGTTTTCAAACAGAATCGAAGCAAATGAAAGAGCTGAGAACGAAGTACCACAAATCAATCACAAGGTGTAACTTTTCCCATTTTTGAAGTTTTGCGTTTGATATGCCCTCCTTTTTTTCGAAAACAATCGAGATGAAAATCGTTTAGAATTCCCCAATTCAATTTACCTCCTCACTCACGGAGAACATTAGCCTGTAAACAAATTCACAGATTTCAACCAACATGAAGATTAGAGGACTTCAATTCTGATGTATCAATGTTATCATCATCAACATTTTATGAATCAGTTTACCACAAACATCATGTTTCCATACTTTTAAAATAAACCAATCTACGACTTCCGAAGTGAATAGGAAACTGTTTTTTTTTTCACCTGGTTATACATACAATGGAAAAATGGACCAGACCACGGGAGATCTACTTGACAATACATTACTCAACATGATGTTTTTTAAAGAATTCAAAATTATTGACAACGCATGAAAAATAACAATAAATACACGATAGGATTCAAAGATGGATAATAATCTGTCCGCGATTTACAATTAACTGTGAAGGGACGACTATAATTTTCTAAGGATTGGGTTTGAAAGCATTTTTATTGATTAAAATCTGTTGAAGCCTTTTTTCCCCAATCATTTGATTGATTGTTGGTCACGTGACCAGGCACCGGACAACGAAAGGGACCTTATGGGACGGAGCCACATCGGATCGGGCACAACTCGTTTTTATTGAAATATTTATGTGGGCCTCTTATTTTAATCGATGACTTTATAACAATACAATGAAATGGTTTCTGGTGAAAAAGAGACTTATTCATAAAATAGAAAAGATTGTGCAATAATTAGGATGATAATTCGGAAAGGTCAAATACTTATATTCAGTGTTGGATTGAACTTAGGATAAATGCAACGTTGTGACAAGTTGAAATACACTAGGTCGAAAATAGGTAAATATACTCAGATCAAGGATATTTAGAAATCGTTACAGAGGTTCAAAAAATCATCAAAATTTTGAACTCTTTTTAGAAGGTTTTCCAGAGGAAAATCTCCTATTAGATTTGGTCTGGTTGGAGCAATAGAGGATGTGACATGCATAGTTTTTCGTTTCATGACCTCCTGATTCCAAAAATACCCATCTCGCAATTTGGGGCATCTTTATTTATTTATTTGTTTGTTTCTTTATGGGGGGGGGGGGAACAGGGTCAGGGAATCCAATTTTTCAAGTCCCAAATCGATATCTTCTCTGTTGCTGAGAAAAGTCATTGTAACGGATGAAAAACATTGAAATTCAATTGGGATGCGCTGCAGAATCTCCCATCGCATGGAATTGCACAAAAATGGAATGAAGGTTCAAGTGTGACCTCATAAAGGTCTGATAGAAGTTTGGTCTCTATCGGTTCAGTGGTTGCTGAGAAATTAGCAAAAAAGGGGTGAATTTTTGATGATTTTGATCGAGTCTGTTAGGTTCATAACTCACAGACCAAACGACCAATAGAGATGAAATTTATATTGAACGTATAAAAGAGGTCGGAGAATTCAATTTTTGATCCTTAAATCTCTATCTTGTATAGGTACTTAGAAAAGTGTCAAATTCGGTGAAGAACGTCGAATCTATAGGCATTCTCTACGGAAAACTTCTCCTCTACCGCAGGGACTGCGGGAGAATTTTTGATCTTACATTCAGAAATTCCATAAAAATGTCATTTTCAACGTTTTTCTCAGTTTTAAAATATTTTTTTTGAAGGAGCTAGAATTTTTTCTAGCTTGAACTACACTATGAAAAGTTGGAATTGAAAATTTTCATTACAGAGTATTGGAAAAATTGATGAAATTTTTAATCGATTATAATCGATTTCTCACGATCATTTATTAAAATCAATAAGTCAGTGCAGTGATAAAAATGTGATGAATTGAGCTTCATTTTGCATCATAGGATTGAAAGTGTTGTTCTAACGACGAGTAGGTGAAAAATATTGTAAAAATCTTTGAAAAATATTGAAAAAATGTTATTTCCTAGTGTAGTGAAAATTATTATTGTAATTTTTTCCAAATCACGAGAATCCAATGACTGGCAAAAATCGATTGTAATCTTTAAGGACAATTTTTAATCGATAATCGTTAAGAAGAGGGGTAATCGATTATAATCAATTAAATTTAATTGATTTCCCATCCCCATTACAGAGATTATCGTTCTGAATTTTCGTTTCGAATTGAAAAATTATTGAAAATGGCCAAATTTTACGTAAGTTGGACGAAAAATATCTAAAGTGGGTAAAATATAAGAAATCAGTACAGTGCAACAATATTAAAAGCTCTTGGCAGCAGGTTGAGATTTACTGTACCACTTCGCAGAGATTTTGCACAAGAAAACTATTCATCACCCTGTCGTAGCAAGACATAAATTTTCATTGCTATTTTCTCACATGTAAATCTCAACCTTCCAACTTATGTACGACGACTAATCACAGCATCACTTTCGAGTTTTCGCGGGTAATTGCACGATTTTTTCCATCATTCGCTCGCACCCTTTCTTTGCTTTCTGCCATCAGAATGATGTTTGCTTTAGTTTATGGCGAATTATTAATACTTAATCGAAACGCTGGTATGCCTTCGCGTCTTCACATTACAGGTTTACTCGTTGTCGTCGCTGCTCTTGTTTACCGTTTTTCCCCTTTCTCCGGCTAAATAATTAATATTAAATCACCTCGTCTGTTTTTTTCCCTTTTACCCTTTTAATACGAGGGAGATTTGTTAAATTTCTGAAAAAAAAAACGAAGAGCAAAAAAAAATGGCACGGTAAAAAAACTAAAAGTCGACGCAAAAAACCCTTGAGCCGTAGCTGCTCACCACCTCCCTCCCCCTCCACCGACACCCATGCTCGCGCCTCCAGCCCCACGATTTCGAAACCGAAGCTCATTAAAACAAACAAGTTTTCCTCGAAACGCATCAACACTTCCCTGAAAATGGTTAATAATGCAAACACCTCTGTAAACAAAATTAATCGGCCGACTGTGCTCGTGTAAACAATTTTCTGCAACGAACGTGTACACAGTGCCTACATTTTACGAGGACAGTGGTGGCTACAAGGGAAGTGGAACTGGCGTAGAGGTGGACGCCAACAACTTTGTCAATATTTCATTTTCAACTTTTTCTTCTGTTTTTTTTTTCACTGCAAAATGCGAACGTTAAAGATTAGTAAGAGAACTGTTGTTGGATACAAAAAGAATGTTGAGTTTCTACAGATACGACAAAAAAATGTTAATGGACGAAACCTGAACACGCGAATCATTTTTGGATTTTTGCTAATTGAAATATTGAGAAGACTTGTCTGGAATTGAGTTTGAAGATTCAAAAAAATTGAAATTTGTATGGCTTGTCCTCTATAGGCCTCCCCCCTCCCCATATACACTCGTGTATGTAGGAGCATAATTATAGTTAAGTACACACTTGTGGACCTGCACTTTAGGCTAGTTGTATCAACGAGAGTTGTGACTCTTACTCCAGAGTTAACTCTCGATTTGTCAATGCTAGCCCCAGAAAAGGAGAGAGTTTAACTCTGACACCAGAGTTATCCTCGTTCCTACAACTAGCTCTTTTATCATAGGCTTTGAATAGAGCGAATGATGACGTCACAGCTGTGGTCTTGTACAAATATCTTGTTGAACAAAAGCTCTCTGAGACATAGAAGGAGGCTTGACCACCAATCATGGCTCACCCCACCACAGTTTACCCACATACAAGATCCTCACTCCAACATAAACTCATTTTAGGTTGTGTAGACACCTAATAAAGATACATGTAAGTAAATTGAAGTTTTGAGACTCAATAGTAGTGAGTTTCTTTCAAAGGGGAAAGGCAAAAATTTAAAAAGATGACAAGGATTTTCTAAAAGTTATACTCCAGGGTCAAACAGTCTGAAGTATCAATTAATATGAAACACAATATAACCACTCCATGAAT